AATTCCAACCCATCATCATCATCATCATCATCATCTTCTCCCTCTTTCTCATCATACTCCTCAACCACATCAAAACCACTCTCTTCCTCTTGTTCTTCTTCCTCGTCAAACACAAAAGTAAAACCCACATTATCATCAATCATAACATTGTCTTCTTCTTCTTGGAAATTAGTGATTAGGTTCCCAATACAAACCATCTGATCGAAAACATGATTCGATATAGGGTTCAACAATTTCTCAATCTCCTCCCTCTTGTTAGGGTTACTGTTCTTCAAAACACCCAAAACCTCATCAGCAGTGGCGGCGACTGTTCCCGGAGGCTGACCATCGCCCAATTGCTGCTGTACGAGGCTAAGCATGGCCTCATAGGGAACCCTGGTTTTCTTCGTCTTGGGCTTGTAACAATCCAATTCTTCATCAACATCAATGGAATTCAAGACACTCAGTTGTTGAATTCGCCTTTTCTTGAACATGGGTTCAGAAGCAATCGATTCACTCTCCTTCTTCTTCTTCTTCTTCTAATACTGAGAAATTTATGTATAAGATTTTGAAGAGAAAAGCAGAATCTAGAAGGGCATTATTAAGAAAATTTGTTATTGATTTGTTAGCCGTTTCTGATTTGAAGTGATGGCCAAGAAAGAAATATGAGTCCCGCTGGCGTCAAGAGTTTGGATGGAGTGGCGGCCAAGAAAATTTGACTTCTCATTGGGCGGCTACTTTTTGAACAAATGTAGTTGTGTTTTTGTAAAAATGGTAAAAAGTTAATTTTTTAATTTTTATTTTTGTATAAAAATTAAGAGGCTATATGATCTTTAAAAAGAAAAGTTAAAAAATTAATCTTTTTAAATTACCCCATTATATATATATATATATATAGGGGTCTTTTGGGAACAATAGACTTATTTGGTAGAGCTTATAAGCTGCTTATTTCAACTTTTAGCTTAATTTAAGTTAAAATATTGTGTTTGGTGCAGTTTAAGTTAACCAACTTATAGCTTAAATCAAACCGTTTCTCAACTTATCCCAAAAGCTGGTCAGGGGGTTCTTAAATTTTTTACTTAAGCGCGTAGCTAGTGTGGGGGGGCTAAAATTACTTAAATGTCCTCGTCAATACTCAAATTATTGATATTATTACTATTAATATTAATTAAAAAAATAAAAAAATTTATATTTCTGAAAAAAAGAAAAAAAATCAATATTAATTGAAAAATTATTGGTATTAATTATTAATAAATTCATATTGTATATTTTATATTAATTAAAAAATAAAAAAATTGATATTTCTGAAGAAAAAGAAAAAAATCAATATTAATTGGTATTAATTATTAATAAATTAATATTATATACTTTTTTGTAATGAATTAATTATTAATTGATACTAATTAATAACAATTGTTGATTATTACTATTAATTGATAATAATAAAAATTAAATATTAATATTAATTTATACTAATTAATAATTTTAGTATTAATTGAGAGTAATTAAGCCATTAATTTATACTAATTAATAATTTTAGTATTAATTGAGACTAATTAAGCCATTAATTGATACTAATTAATAATTTTAGTATTAATTGATATTAAATAAGCAATTAATTAATACTAATTAATTTATAATGGAAAATAATTGTGACAATAATACTTCCATTTATTTTTAGCAAATGTATTAATTTTTATATTAATTGATACTAATTAATACTAATTATATTAACTTTTATTAATGAAAATTAAAATTGAAAAAATGACAAAATAATCATTTTTATATCATATAAGGGTAAAAAGGACAATTATATAGTAAAAAGTTATTTTACAGCTTATTAACCAAACTGCTTAAATCCATAATCTCACAGCTGCACCAAACAGGTTAATAGCTTATGTTCACAACTATAAGCCATAATATGTTAAGTTATAATCTATAATCACTTTTCTACAGTTCTACCAAACAGGGCCAATGGTAAAAAGTCAACTTTTTTACTTTTTAACTTTTTTTAGTAAAAAAGACAATTTTTTTATCCAAAACAACCCAGTTTTTTGCCAAAAAAATCACCAAAAAAGTCAAAAAATTAATTTTTTACCAACTTTCCAAAACACCACATAATATGAGAAATTTTAAAAATTAGGAAAATATTTGGTAGCTTAAAATTTTGTGGCTCAAATGGCTCAAATCTGTCAAAACGACGTCGTTTTACACTCATTTACACTCAAAACGACGTCTTTTTGAGTGATTTGAGCTATTTAAATCACAAAATTTTAAACTACCTAACATTATTGTAAAAACTAATAAAAATTAACTTTACTTTTTTCCGTTCAACGCAAATCTTTCCCTGCTACCACTGCCCATATCGTTCTTTCTCCAGTCTATAACAACTACTACCTTTCAACATTATCGATAAAAATTGGTCAAATTATCTAAATTATTCATATTTTATTAAGTACAATGAATGACTAAATTTGATATCATTTTTAAAATTAAAAAATTAAATTAATCTGTTATTTCAAATCGTAATTTTTTTTTAAATTTCTTCAAATATATATATAGAGAGTGAATGTGTGTGAGTGCAAAAACAAAATAAATACAATGAACAAGTTATGTGAAATGATTTAAATAAATATATCTTTTGATTTTTTATAAAAAAAATTAACAAAAAAATAAAAAGATAATGTGACTCCCAAAAAAAAAAAGTGTACTATTTTAGTACACCCTAAATAAGCTTTTAGTGATAAAATCTTTTATAACTACAATAACGGTGTAAAAAAAAAAAAAAAAAATTGAAAATTTATTAACCTTCTAACTACACAGAAAATTTTGATTTAAGTTGTTTAAAAAAGAAAATTTATTTATTTCTCCTTCTCTCACTCCCTCCATCCACCACACATGCCGCTCATCACCACCACCAGCAACCTCCAACCCATAATTACCAATGCATTTCTCTCGGGATTTTTTCCAAACTAAGCTCCTATACTAATTTATTTCTCAAACTAAGTCTACTTTTGCAGAAATTTCCAAACTAAGCTGAAGCGTTATTTACAAAACACACTTTTAGCATTTTTTTGGTTCAGGCAGACAAAATAAATAAAATCATGAAAACGTATTTACAAAACGCGTTTTTAATTAAGGTCGCGCGGTTACAAATCACGCTGGTAATAAAATGTAAAAGCGTGTTTTGAAAACACGCTTTCAACAAAAAAAAAAAAAATTAGCCGTCTATCTGTCTTGCCTAACCTGCTCAGAACTGATCATCATAACATGCAAGCAATGGGTTTCAAGCAATGACAGATGTATGCTATACCATAACTGCTATTGTTGAACATGATGAGATTGGGCATTGTTATTCTATTTTAAAAATTAGATTTATTTTTTAAATCTAATAATATGATAATCAATTAAAATATTTAATATAATTTTCTCTCATATCTTTTTTAATCAGCAATCAATTATTTCACTTATATATTATTGAGTCTAAAAAGTTAATCTAAAAAATTGACTTATTTTTTAAATCCAATGATATGATAATCAATTAAAATATTTACTATAATTTTCTCTCATTTCTTTTTTAATCATCAATCAATTATTTCATTTATATATTATTGAGTCTAAAAAGTTAATCTAAAAAATTGACTTATATATCATTTTTTATTGTGCTTAAAACGACACAGTTTTATTTTCTTTTTTTTATGTTCTTACTATATTTTGTGGCATCATAAATTACACTTTGCCCTAAACCTTTTTTATTGAAAGCGTGTTTAGGACAAAGTGTAATTTATGATGCCAAAAAACATAGTATGAACATAAAAAAAGAAGAAGATAAAACTGTGTCGTTTTAACCACAATAAAAAATGATATATAAGTCAATTTTTTTGATTAACTTTTTAGACTCAATAATATATAAGTGAAATAATTGATTGATAATTAAAAAAGATATGAAAGAAAATTATATTAAATATTTTAATTGATTATCACATCATTAGATTTAAAAATAAATCTAATTTTTAAAATAGAATAACAATGCCCAATCTCATCATGTTCAATAGTAGCAATTATGGTAGAGGATACATTTGTCATTGCTTGAAACCCATTGCTTGGATGTTAGGATGATCAGTTCTAAGCAGGTTAGGCAAGACAGATAGACGGCTAATTTTTTTTTTTTTTATTGAAAGCCTGTTTTCAAAACACGCTTTTACGATTTATTACAAGCACGATTTGTAACGCGCGACCTTAATTAAAAGCGCGTTTTATAAACGTGTTTTCATGATTTTATTTATTTTGTCTGTCTGGACCACAAAAATGTTGAAAACGTGTTTTGTAAACACGCTTCAGGTTAGTTTGAAAATTTCCACAAAAGTAGGCTTAGTTTGAGAAATAAATTAGTATAGAAGCTTAATTTGAAAAAAACCCCTTTCTCTCGTCACCACCTTTAACAGTCGACAACCATCACCTTCTGCCACTACCGACTAGCCGACAAAAATCATCTTTGGCCATTACCTTCTACCAACTACCTCTCACCTTCTGCAAAAGAAGTTTTCAAAATATATATCTGCCAAACATGTTTTTTTGTTTTTGTTTTATAAAAAATAATTGTAGATATTAACAAACAACACCACTTAAGCATCCTGTGCAAAACTAATGAAGTGTGTTTGAATTATTTTAGAGTCAAATATGTCATCAGTCCTTATGCACCCTTAGATATTTTAATTCCCAATATTTCAATTTTGGTAAATTAAACCGTGTTCAGAATATGAATTTAGATACAAATTTAAAATATGCACTCTTAACCATTTCTCTTTTCCTTTCTAAACCTCTACTCAAATCCATACTTCAAACACAACCTTAGTCTCAAACTTATTTACAGTGTCAATTCTGTCCAAAGATTTGCACAAATTTAGACCAAAAAATTCCCATTCTATAATATAATTTTGGATGAAAATAACAGAGAACCATTTAAACACAAATTGAATAAGTTACCTAGCAAATTAACACAATTGAAATATCAATGAAAATAGTAACTCAATACATAGGATCTACTCCCACTCCAATACGAAACTTTATTTGACAGCATATCCTTGTACACAGTTTACAGTTTTACATGGATTCTGGTTGAAACTGCAACAGTTATTAACTACTAGTAAATAATCTATCTGTACACAAAGCTAATCTTAGTCCGAAGAAGAACCAGCAATGTGCCAAAGTATGTATATATCACAGAAATGACAGCAAAAGAGAGAAACCAAAAAACAAAAAAATGTATAAAGAAAAAACTCGGACTGCCTAGAAACCAATCAGCTCTTGCGCACACATTATTTTAAGCTTCCCCTGTGTAGGTTCCTCTCAGGATTGTCCAAAAACTGAATGGTTCAGAGCTAACCCTAATATTCTCTTTGTACATATACAGTCAGTTCCAAGACCCATTGTCAAATGCCAGGTCTGTTTTCCTGCACTGTGATCCGAATATTTCCTATTATCTGTCTGCTAATTTACCCCTTCAATCTCTCTCTCTCTCTCTCTCTCTCTCTCTCTCTCTCTATTCCAACAAAGTTTTACCTACAAAACTCCTTCTGATACTCTCCCTTTGGAAAGACCCACAGTCGGATATTATAGTCAAAATCTAGAATTTTTCATTCTGGGCAAAAATAACTTTCATAGATTGAAAGACGATCAAATGCATCAAAGTTTGCCTTGAGTCCAACAAACTGACTTCCCAATTGAGCACAACCAGCATCAGGCCACCTGCAACCTCCGTCTCGGGTCCGTAATGGACATAAAGACTCACAAACCCGAGTTATTGGATTGTTGGTATTGGCATCATCTGCCACAACAGTAATGGACACGGAGAGATCTGACTTATCATCGTTCTGCATTGTTCCGTCTGGTTCTCTTTTTGAAGGAGACTGCATGAATTTCTTTGGCATCTCTGTTGGGTCGTTCTCAATGTCAACAGTACAATCGCCACTGCCAGAGAAGTGAACCTTGCACCCCAGTGACTGTATCGCTCGCTTTATGGCTGCACTTTCCTTGTTGGCCCTCGTGGCCAAATTCATCGCTGAAATGCTGATTTGTTTCTCGTTCTGCAACGCGGAAGTCAAGGACTCCATGGTAGAAGCGATGTCTCTAGCTTTCCTTTCGGCCACCTCTTTTGCCTGTTAGACCAATTGTAAGCATCCCAGAACTCTAAATGAAACAATCCTAATAATGATAATATTCAAATTGAAGATTTAGGATAGACTCAATTTTATTTTGCATTTACACAACTATTAGAATAATGGAAATCAACGAAAAAATAAACTTTGTTAATCACTTCTTCCTGCCAGAAGCAATGTGGACCATATTTTCCATTTGATCAACATTACCCATGTGACTTCGGCTAAAGAAGCCAAAGGCTATTTGTTTGAGGCTAAAAAGCGAACACCAACGATGGGTCTGTAACTGAGAGTATCCTAGGACAATGATCCTGGTGAATTTCAAGTCGCGTTGCATCCTAATAAAATTTGTAGTAACTGCTCCACCAGTCCAATTAATCTACAGCTGTCTCTAAATTCTACGGGTATTATGTATTGTTTTGGCCTTACTTTTTAGTCATAAGAAACGCTTGAAAGAATCGTGTTATAGTAGCATTACTGGTAAATGTGGTTAATATACAAAAGCAGAAGTCATATAGGTTCTGGATTGTATCAAGAGTAGGGTGACATCAACTTAGCATAAAATACATGGAAAAACAAGATACCCGTAATAAAGTTGGGTGTAATTATGAATAAACTCAAAGTCGGGAGGATAATCACTAATAATAAGAGAAGACCGATTTAAAAGATATTACCTTCTGCAGTTCAGAGAATTTTTTAGTCATGCTCCTACATTGAGCTTCAACTTCCCCTGATTGAGCTTCAAAAGGACAAGCCCACCGAAGATGGAATTGGGGCCATAGAGTTGGCGCTAAAGCTGCTGCAGGTGGTAACAGTGGTCCCTCATGTTTTGATGAATCATAAAAGAGGTTATAGTGCACATGAGAATTTCCCTCTGAAGCCCGCAAATCAGCCAAATACACCCATAAGCATCCACAGCTGTCGTAGATGCCAGATTGCTGTCTTTCCTTCTCACTGAAATTTAAACTAAGAACTCAGAAAAAGATGTACTACATCTTGTTTCATAAAAGTTGAGACCAATAGATCAATTTTCCCTCTAGCCTGTTGTGCTACGAGTTCCTCAATGCCAACAAGATTTAGATGTTTATGTGGATGATTATGGACTTCATATGGCAACGTTCTAACATTTGGTCTACAATATTTAGCTGGTTAACGCTGAAAGTATAAACAGGGACCATTTTTTATGGAAAATTTGGAAGGAAAACATTGGTTTAAGGAAGAAAATGTAACAGAACTTTCCACATAATATGGCAGGGAATTTACTTTTCCTGTCTGCTTTAACCATTCAAATATTGGCTTTTAAAGTTTCATACTTACTACCAAAAAAAATTATAAAAACCATTCAAAAGAGTGACAGACCAAAGATATATCCCGTACTAAATCAATAATCTCTGCTATCCAATTTGCTTATCTCCAACAACCCAAGACAATAATAAATAAATAAATAAAAAATCACCTAGGCCAAGCTGGCTTCTCATGTTAGGACAAAAAGATCTTTTTTTTGGGTGAATAGGACAAAAAAATCTTATCCTTGTGTAAAAGCACAAAAACTAGGCTAAGGCCTCAACATCACCTAAACCCCTTTTCCCCCAAGTTCAAATATTGTTGTTTCATCAACAATTTCTTATCTGAGGCCTTTCAGTAGGAATTGAAACCAGAAAATGTTTTCCTGTAAGATAACTAGTCCACCATTGTCAAATATGTTGCCTACTCTAATAGAAAATTAAATACAAATAATGAAAATGCATGCTAGGAACCACAGTGATTAAACCATATGTACCTAGGCTAATGCTAAATAATGCATACCTGTTGCACAAGAAGTTACCAAAGCGACAAGAAATCACACAGTCCAAGAAATCTACAAGAAAAGCCTACATATGTAAAAGATTCACAAGATGTTACTCAACAATCAGCAAATCCCAAAAATCATCAGTTTTGCTACAGCAATTTTAGGCCAAGTTTGGCATACCCAAAATAATCCATCTTTTTATCTTTTTATGTCATTTAGGTCATCCCAAACAACCCCTTAGTGTTGCAATAAAGGAAACTAAAAGTTTCACATATGAAATAAATAACATACCGAGGAGAATTCAAATGCAAAAGGATACATCCGTAGAAGCTGTGAAACACAATCAACCCACTGCAGAAATTCAAAAACCAAGCCATCAGTTTATGTTAGAATTTACTGTTATTTTAGCGATAAGGTTACTATTGTAATTTCATAGTCTTTATTCAATATAAACACATGGGTATTACGTGCTGATTGCTCCCTCCTATCCTTTTTTATCAAGCAAAAGGACTCCTTATGCTAGGAATTATGGTGCTTTTTCCAAAAGTCGTTGAATCCATCTAGTAGTTGTTTTCTATGAATAAATTTCAGAATTTTTAGGGTCAATTTTCAGATCTTTTTTTTGGATGCTCTCTGGGCTGTTTGGTTGCACTCCATTGCTACTAGGAGTGCTGACTAACAAGAAGTCCAAGACTTATTCGTAGTGTGAAGAGGAAAACAATAATCCTGTCAGCAAAACAGCCACCTATAAACCTACAGTTTCTAGTCAACCTTCCTGTCAAGTCCATCCTCAAACTGTCTGGAAGATAACCACTAGATATTTTGAATAGGTCATTTAAAAATTGTATGGTACTATATTCCAAATAACTTCTCATGTTCAACATGTGTAAAGTGTCCTGTGGCATATCTTATGTTAACCAATACCAATATACTGAATTCTACACATTATTAAAAAATTGACCATTTTTCTAACATACTATCCAGATCAACAAAATAATGGCTTTATTCAAAAAAGATTTAAACCCTTTTTTCGATTTTCTTCCACTCTGCAAAACACTAATTTCCACACCAACACTTTCATCACTGTCTATTTGTCTGAATTTCATCAGGATCTAAATATTCAGCATCAGCATTGATACCATTGCTTTCCAATACCGGCCTAGTAGGCCAGATGGTTACCTATTTGGACTTTTAATCTATCAGGGGGCAATTGTCATTTGATGTATCTTTGCTTCTGTGTTTCCTCTTTTTGATGAAGTAATGATCACTTCACGAAATTTTGCTGAAATATAACTTGGGAGGCATAAGTTCAACTAGACATCTGACATTTTTACATTATTCTTGTAAAATTTTTTGGTCATTAATTCCATGGTTTTGTAGTGTAATTAAAATTAACTAAATACTGTCTTTGGTTTTATAAGTTTCAAAGTATCTATCAAAATAAATTGACTGAAGTCTGAAATGTCATACTACTTTTGGATTTACAAAAACAAATATACTTGTGAATTTCTTGTGCCTGCTAATGGCATTAGTTTTATCTAAATCACCCACAACATAATTAATATGTTTTGAGGATCTGCAAACACTTTTTTTTTTTTTCTTTTTTGACATTTCTCAACAAACAGATATTTTAATTTTAACAATATCATCAAAGTTCCACTAATTTTCATTATTTTGACTGACATAGAAACAACATATGAATATGTTGTGAGTAATAGGTTAAATACAAGAATAAAGCCAGTAATGCCTCAACCCTCCACAGCTAGCCCAACAACCAAATGAAGAACTTATTCTAGGTTTTTGAAGAAAAAGGTAAAATACAAGAATAGAACCAGCAACGCCCCAACCCTACCCTCAACAGCTCCAATTTTTTGTGTTTGTTTGTGTTTATACAAATTAGTATGGACCAAGGAGTAGCATCTACAAATATTTTAGGTGTATTGACTATGAATGACATGACAAATATTACAATGTACACTCTGGAAGGATGTGGTTTTCAACTGCCATACACTCAGACAGACATGCACACACAAAGAGCAGACATAAGCATAAATTTTAAGCAGCTTTTTAAAACTACTAGATGAAACTCCCGTTGCACTAATGCAAGCTACATTATTCTGATTCACAAACCTGCAAAAATATGGGAGAGTAATTGTTTGAATTTTGCGCATGAGAAGAACTATGAGCTTGAGATGTAAGTGATCCTGATGCTTGACGCATGGGTGATGACGGGAAACTCCCACCAGTCGAAGACTGCCTAGATAATTCATAAGGCATGTTACCATTTCCGGATATACTTGGCATTCCCACGCGATCTGCAAATGGATGGCCACATGCAAGCCAATCTTTTTCCACTAGTGCCTGTAGTAAGAATAAAAGGTTTAAACAACCCAACCCTAGTAGTATCCAATTAAGTGAAATCAAATAAATATATGCAGTAAGGATATTGGGGGTTTGTGTCAACCCCCAACATTGGTATCATCCTACATTGATTTTCTGACATGGCAACCTCAGATAAATGAATCACAACATGGGTGCAGTTTCTGAAACAGCATTTGACACCTACATTACACGGACATCTTGTTTTTTGGGAGGTACCCACGTCGACACGACACAACACGGGTACGGGATACAGCTCTTTACAAACGGATAGGACAGAAGAAACGAAAGAGGAGAGAGCAATGAGAGAGCCCGGTTGCCGACTTCGAAAGGGTGAAGACATCGATCCCTCTGTCGCTGGCTTCGACAACTCCGTTCTCGCGCCAATCGAGCTCTATCCCTTCAACTTCGACAAGCGCTCTTCGACTTCGACTTCGACTTCGACTTCATCTTTGTCATCAACAAGCACCACCATAATCCCCGCTCTCTCCTTCTCTGTCATGTCTCTCTCTCTCTCTCTCTCTCCCATCCCAACAACTTTAATCTGCCCCTCTTTTCTTTTCTTTTTTTTAATTCCTTTTATTCCATCCCTCTCTCTTTCTCTGTCACGTCTCTCTCGCGTTCTCTCTCTCCCATCCCACCAACTTTAATCTGGCCCTCTTTTCTTTTCTTTTTTTTATTCCTTCTATTCCATCCCTCTATTTTATTCTTTTTATAAAAAAAATTAAATAAAAAAAATTGGGCTGAATAAATAAAATAAAAATTTGGGCCTACTAAAATTTTGGCCAACAAATCTTTTAATATCATGGGCTGTTATATGGCTAATTTATATGTTTGGTCCATAAATTAAACATAAAAAAGTTATTGGGTCAACTTTTTAACTCATGTTTATATAAAATATATATTTAAGAAATAATTATTTGACGTATCGCTGTATCTGTATCCAAATTTGGATCCGTATCCACGTATCTTCCATTTTTAGTTTTAAGCTGTCTGACCCTTAGATATGCACCCTCACCCGATACCCGCACCCCGAATCCGTGTAAAGTAGCTTGACACACCAGTTTGAGTCTGGCACAGACAAACCATAATTAGAAATTATTCTGTATAGGTTTCTGCCCTGAACGGTTTTGATTTTCATACAGCCAGAGAAAATAATACACACACATGCAACCACTCATTTAATCAATAGATGGAGTTCACAAAGTGCATCTTAAATAACCATAATTAAATATTTTTGCCACCAAGGTAAAGATGACACATAGAATTGATATAAAAAGAAAAACAGAAAAGATCCATTAGTGTCTGGTCAGTAGTACCTGAAACCCCTTGAAAGTCCGGTAATATGGATCTAGCAACAAATTAGCAAGGGAGACCAACTGAGTTGTTCTGTCCCATCCATCACTACAAAACAATCTATGTCACTAAGCAAAACAATCCATATCACTACTCAAAATGAAAAATGCTAAAGGCTTTCAAGAATGACACCGAGAATAATGAAACACAAAGTAAACAAAATAAATCTAGCACGGTTAGAATTTGTCATACAAGTGGACAAAATGAAATCTCTCAAGATGGTATCAGAGCTTGGACTCCAATAGGTTTTGGGTTCAAATCTCGTGATGTGTTTGTTCTCCTAGTATGTTTGTTAGCATAAACTCCATTCATCTGTGTTTGTACAAGCTGTTTAGTAAAGTTTGTGTGTGAGTTTGTCTCTCTAGATGCAAAAGGAGGTAAGTTGTGAAGGCGAGTGTGAGCTTAATATACACTCCTGGTGTTTATTTCCTGATAGCTTCAGCTTTTGAGGCAAATGGTCACCTACAAAGACCCAAACAAAAATAGTAGAAGTTGTGTCAAGGAGAGATGAGGGAAGAGAGAGAAACTCTTCAAGCTAGTAATGCATGTGGACAAGTACACCCTCAGGTTATGAGCCTACAAGGGGAGATGAAGGCCACTTGTCACCTAGGCACTTGTGAAGTGCAGTCATATCACTCTAAGAGAGAGACATCTCATAAACATATCCTAACCATTTCCTCAGGTCATCGACACACTAGCTAAAGGCAACACATACAGATTCTAAGTGCACTGTTAAGACCAAAGTTAGCCTAATTATGCCCCGTGGCATCACCCCCTAGCTATCAGTTCCTTCTTGCTCCATCAAAGCACAATCTTCTTTACACCCAGACTGACAGCCCAAGGAGAAAGACAACAAGTGGCCGAACTCCATTCAGTTCAATTTCTACATTAATCCTTCACTCAACATGCTAGGGGGATTGCACCAAGGTTTTTACATGAAAATATACAGATATCCTTCGTATAAACCTTTTCCAGGTGCATTTAATGAATAATTATTTACTCATAAAAAAAAAATTGTAAAACAAAGGGTATTTCCTCCCACTACTTAAAAAATCAAATATAAAATTAATGTTTATCAATTGCAAAAAGTTCATCTGAAATTATTAAAACACAAATGTATATCAATTTAGACTTAAAACCAACATATCACCATTACATAGGTAATTTGTCAAATCTTAAAAAATAAATTAAAATAGAGTGCAAGTAAACCATGTTTCTTGTGTAACATTCATTACACCTCACTTCCACATCACTACAACTATGACTGCAAATCATTACCTTACATGTTCAGCCCATCAATTAACAGCTTCAAGTCTTTGGGAACAACTATTCATCTAATAGATACATATTAAATTCATAATTTTTTCATGAAAAAGATGAGAAATGTAGAAAATTCATGTCCAAAAAATTTTGACCATCATCAATGCAGGAAATGAGCAGATTTATCAAGTAATCAGAATAGTTAACAAGATGAAGGCATCAAAAGACTTCTAACCTGCAATGAACAAGCACAGATGCTGATTCCAAATCAACACGTGCTGCAATCCAAGCAGAACCAGCCAAGATATTCTGAATATGTATTAACCAACCACTGTCTCCCAGGGTAGACACAGAAGCAGACATACTGCTGAGATTACCTCCACCCCAAGTCCATCCACCATGTCTCTGTGGTTACCAAACAAACATTATTACTGTGCTACCCATTACACAGAAAGGCCCGGAAGATAAATTCCAACTTCAGAGTGCTGTAAATTTCTATTGATAATAGTTCCAATCAACATGAAATCACATTAAAAGCTGGTAACTACTTATTGAGAATTATATGAGATTAACTGGGCAAGACATAATTTTTAGCATAATCTTCCACTATGGTATTACAGGAGAGAAATGATCACTTAACCATTACCACCCAGCTACTACAATTATGAATCTATCAAGACAATTTTTGTCAGCCTTGATCTTAAAGATGTACTTTCTTCATAAGCAAGGGCAACATTTCATTCATGTAGAACCTAATAATAGAGAGTTGATATTTGATTAATAACCCAACCAAACTCAACTTCTAAACTAGATATGACAAAATGATAATTCCACCACGACTAACTAGAATAGCTTTCATTCTTAAATATTAAGACTTGAACAAAAGTGACAATTCCATACATGTCCTATTTCAGAACTTCTTGTCTAAGTATATATATATTGATAAATAACTTCTTGTCTAAGTATATTACATCTCATGTACCACGGTACTAGAATTAAACAACAGTTTCTCTCCTCAAGAATATTAAATAATTGTAGTTCATCATTGGTAATGCCATTGAATCTTTATAAGGATTGCAAAAATACCAAAAATGATGACATTCCATCTGATGAAGTTGCACCATGAGTATCTAAGTAATCTCTAAGCCGAGAAAGACTATCCCTCATTGCATGTATATTGTCTATCCCAAAGAAAACTATCTGGAAGCAAATTACAAAAAACAGTACATGAGATTAGAAAATTACAGAAATCCAATGGTTGCTAATTTGAGATGCACAACCAGACAACTCAAACCTCAAACAAACCTCAGATTGAAAATAATTAGAAGATGACTCTGAACCACCTCCCATTGCCCCATTTGCCAAGGCATTTTTCCGAGGTCTTGCATCCGCAATATATAGCTTCCTACAAGAAGAACATAGAATTTTTTCAGCCTACAGTACTGTAAGTACTAAGCTTTTTTTTTAGGAACTCCATTTCATTCTATTTAGCATACAGTTCCAAAACAACAACAAAAAAAAGCTAATTTTACAAGCAAATAAAACAAATGTCAAAAAAACTTAAAAACTACAAGGCATAAAATAAAAAAGAAATGATTCTATAAAAAGAAACATCCAAATCTTGTTGAAGCTTGTCTAGATTAGAAATTAATAGAAATGTAATTGGTTGAAACTATGTTGCAACTGGAAGTAGAATTCAACATAGGGAGTTTTGGAAACCAATAAATATATGAGCAATGGATAATGAAGGAGGTAACATAATCAAATATTAAAAAAAACAAAAACAAATACAAGAACAAGAAAGAAAGGACAAAGCAAGAAAGAAAGAAAGAAAGAAAGAAAGAAAAATTAGCAACGTAAACAAAGAACAAAGGAAAACAAAACACAGCAAACAATCAAAATGTAACAATTGAATTTTATAAATAAATAAAAAAGAAACCCAGAGTTATACCTTCTTGTCTGCTTTGCACCGGCAAGGTGAGTGCAAAGTGCAGCAACTAGTTTTTCATCAGTATTGCTGTATACAAAGGAATAGAAGTAGATTAAGGCCCTTTCATCAGATGAAAAGAGATAAAAGAGAAATAAATAAGCTTCCAGTTCCAAACCTTCACATTAGTCATTGTTAAATCTGTTCAGTTTAAGAAATCATTCAAGAAAAGAAACAGCGTTTGAAATAGATGAACACAACATTACCTCCTCATATTCATCATGAGACCAACTAATGGTTGAGATGACCGTGCAAGAACAGCTCCGTTACCTGAAACAAATGGCTTGAATAAACACATTAGTATGGACGTTAGTACAAATTAGAGTCATTTAAAATTTGAGTTCAGTGCATACCTGGATGACACCATGAAATTATGGGCAACCGACATCGTGCACGAAACGTGGAAGCCTGGAGCACTTCTTCATCACTAGCATCAATGGACCACAAAGCATTATGACACAAAAATCCAGTGAGACATATGAGTAAAGTCAGGAACATTTGCAAGTGAAAATCTGACGTATGGACATCAAATGCCTCACCGAATGCTTTTTGGAACAATCAAGGCAAATGGATAAGTTGGGCACATTGTGTAGTTGGAATTCACACCGCTAATTCTCCACCACTCATTAGACAATGTGAATGACCCATCTTCAATAGTGCAAGTTGATGCTTGATACGAACCCATTCCAAGAAGCCGAAAGTACTCATTTAGTAGCCGCACCTTAGGGTTGGTGTTGTTGTTACTGAATCTGGAAGGGTAAGCAGTAAAAGCATAGAGATCCCAGAGTCTCGCTGGCTTTGTACTTCTCACCAATGCATCAAATATAGCTCGTCTCTGCAAAGTTTACAATTTACCTGCATCATTTTCTATCATGTGGAAGAAGCAATTTGCAGCATTAAATTTGAACATCTAATAAACAATTAATTATTTTTAAGTTACTAATGATTTTCTCTATCTATAGTTGAGAGCTTCTCTCTCTATAGCTTCTTGCCCGGGAGAAAGAGTTGCTTTCATGTCTATATCCTTTGCCTTAGATTAACCTCGTGGTGCCTCTCCTTCAATGTCTTTTTTTCCTTTTGGGTTGCATTCACTTCTTTGGGTGTGGAAGCTATGTTTCCCTGGTTTGGTTGTCCTCTTCTCCAATTCTATGACATTTGTTATGATGTTTGGATCCAGATGTCCCTTTTTCTCTATTTTCTCCCACTTTCATAGTTATAGTTGGAGCTTCAGTTATGTGTGGTTCTTGATTGCAGAGATGTCTTTTCGGACAATCTGGTTTCGTTTTCATCTAAACAGGATGTCTGAGTTGGTCACCATTCTGTGTCTCTGTGTCATTTTCTGTGTCTATAGATGATTCTAGTTATGTTGCTGGAATTTATATTCTGGTCTGGTTTCATCCTTCCTTCACAGCAGGTTAGCGGAGGTGCTTTGGGCAAGATTTGTGTTTGTTTCAATGGTCTTTGCTGTTTTGGTTGACTGTTAGGATAGTGGTGTTACAGATAAGCTTGTTGTTTTGTCCCCATGGAGGGTTAGCTTGAGGTTATAGGGATGACAGGAGCTGTAGCCAAGCACGTATTGTGTACTAAAATTGAGAAACAAAATTCCAACTATCATTCTTCACCTGTTTTGTTCGAGGACGAAAGCCAAAGACGATAATTCTCATATCCTTTCCTGCAAAAGAAATTAGGAACCATGAGTCAATCACTATCTGTCATCACCAGAAATAACAACATTGATGATAATGATGATGGCGAAACTTAATAGTCTTTTTAAATTGACGGACATGGCTTACCAAGCTAACTAGGAATATGAATCACATAATCAACTAGTTATTATATTTGAGTTATTACATTTACGCACATGGCGTAAATAGGTTTATTTAATCATTCCGAGTTCAAGGACCCTTACTCCATTGTACACAAAATTTTGGACCTACTACAGTTGATGAGATTTCCCAAAGCATGTTCTGAAAAATCCAATCACAATTCTTGGCCAAGGCTATGAACTATCAAAACTTCCTTCCACTACATATTAGCTTTAAATACCAAAACCATCATTACCATAACACCACCACTTTCCCATTACCAGACCGCATCAAAATCCACCCATTGCAACCAGAACTACCTTTAATACCATCAAACACCCCAACCACAACCGTGAACCTTCACAGCATCAACTAATTCTTGCTTACAAGTAACAAGGAGAGGGGAACACAGATTTTTTTATTTTGAAAAAAAAAAAAGGAAAACTGATTTCCACTCTTGTCACTTAAACCGCCTCCAATACTGAAATCACTTCCAGAACCTTCACCATTCCAACAATCAATATGCCTACATACAATAGACGCTTCTATTCCAAAAGTTTCCAAACATCATTCAGTCTAGCATTTCTATTCAATCTCAATCCAACAAATACAAACATTATTGAAATCATATGTGTTAAACCTTGAATGGTTCAGAAAAGCCTTTGGTTATCTCATCAAAAGGATCGAGTGGGGACTACCCTGGTTGTACTGATTTGTGTAGACATTTGAATGGAATATATTACTTATTCAAGAAAATAAATTAGTGATTGGGGTTTTTTTGAGCAAATAATATACTAGTAATCATAGACACAAAAATCTAGTGAGACATATGAGTAAAGTCAAGAACATTTACAAGTGAAAATATGAAGTATGGACATCAAATGCCTCACCGAATGCTTTTTGGAACAATCAAGGCAAATGGATAAGTTGGGCACATTGTGTAGTTGGAATTCACACCGCTAATTCTCCACCACTCATTAGACAATGTGAATGACCCATCTTCAATAGTGCTAGTTGATGCTTGATACGAACCCATTCCAAGAAGCCGAAAGTACTCATTTAGTAGCCGCACCTTAGGGTTGGTGTTGTTGTTACTGAATCTGGAAGGGTAAGCAGTAAAAGCATAGAGATCCCAGAGTCTCGCTGGCTTTGTACATCTCACCAATGCATCAAATATAGCTCGTCTCTGCAAAGTTCACAATTTACCTGCATCATTTTCTATCATGTGGAAGAAGCAATTCGCAGCATTAAATTTGAACATCTAATAAACAATTAATTATTTTTAAGTTACTAATGATTTTCTCTATCTATAGTTGAGAGCTTCTCTCTCTATAGCTTCTTGCCCGGGAGAAAGAGTTGCTTTCATGTCTATATCCTTTGCCTTAGATTAACCTCGTGGTGCCTCTCCTTCAATGTCTTTTTTTCCTTTTGGGTTGCATTCACTTCTTTAGGTGTGGAAGCTATGTTTCCCTGGTTTGGTTGTCCTCTTCTCCAATTCTATGACATTTGTTATGATGTTTGGATCCAGATGTCCCTTTTTCTCTATTTTCTCCCACTTTCATAGTTATAATTGGAACTTCAGTTGCGTGTGGTTCTTGATTGCAGAGATGTCTTTTCGGACAATCTGGTTTCGTTTTCATCTAAACAGGATGTCTGAGTTGGTCACCATTCTGTGTCTCTGTGTCATTTTCTATGTCTATAGATGATTCTAGTTATGTCTCTGGAATTTATATTCTGGCCTGGTTTCATCCTTCCTTCACAGCAGGTTAGCGGAGGTGCTTTGGGCAAGATTTGTGTTTGTTTCAATGGTCTTTGCTGTTTTGGTTGACTGTTAGGATAGTGGTGTTACAGATAAGCTTGTTGTTTTGTCCCCATGGAGGGTTAGCTTGAGGTTATAGGGATGACAGGAGCTGTAGCCAAGCACGTATTGTGTACTAAAATTGAGAAATAAAATTCCAACTATCATTCTTCACCTGTTTTGTTCGAGGACGAAAGCCAAAGACGATAATTCTCATATCCTTTCCTGCAAAAGAAAATAGGAACCATGAGTCAATCACTATCTATCATCACCAGAAATAACAACATTGATGATAATGATGATGGCGAAACTTAATAGTCTTTTTAAATTGACGCACATGGCTTACCAAGCTAACTAGGAATATGAATCACATAATCAACTAGTTATTATCTTTGAGTTATTACATTTACGCACATGGCGTAAATAAGTTTATTTAATCATTCCGAGTTCAAGGACCCTTACTCCATTGTACACAAAATTTTGGACCTACTACAGCTGATGAGATTTCCCAAAGCATGTTCTGAAAAATCCAATCACAATTCTTGGCCAAGGCTATGAACTATCAAAACTTCCTTCCACTACATATTAGCTTTAAATACCAAAGCCATCATTACCATAACACCACCACTTTCCCATTACCAGACCGCATCAAAATCCACCCATTGCAACCAGAACTACCTTTAATACCATCAACCACCCCAACCACAACCATGAACCTTCACAGCATCAACTAATTCTTGCTTACAAGTAACAAGGAGAGGGGAACACAGATTTTTTTATTTTGAAAAAAAAAAAAAAGGAAAACTGATTTCCACTCTTGTCACTTAAACTGCCTCCAATACTGAAATCACTTCCAGAACCTTCACCATTCCAACAATCAATATGCCTACATACAATAGACGCTTCTATTCCAAAAGTTTCCAAACATCATTCAGTCTAGCATTTCTATTCAATCTCAATCCAACAAATACAAACATTATTGAAATCATATGTTTTAAACCTTGACCTCCAAAAAAAGTGAACTAAAGACAAAGAAATCAAACAAGCAATTTGTAAAATAATGTACCTATGACCTGGAGAAGTCGCCGTGATGGAGTCCTGTCAGACTGCCGAGGTGCTGATGGAAGCTTCATAGCCTACCTCCCAACAAAGCAACAAATATGAAGATTTAATCATTTTATACTCAAAGAAAGATAAATAATTAAGGCTTGCCCAATTTTGAACAATGAGAAGAATTTGAAGTTGGCCAACAATTACAAAAATGCAGGTACAAGGTGCAAAGCATAATTGCCAAGTTTTATTAGAGTAAACACACATAATTCAACTCAGCAAAGCCTCCACTCATCTATTTAAGGTTGGTTAAATGAGTCCTAATTCAGCATTATCTATCAAATGCAATAACTAACGTAAAATTTGGTCTCCATTTTCCCAGCATTACCCTCAATCTTAATACTCACTCAATGTATCTATAATTTAAATAAATAAATAAGCAATAAAATATATATATATATATATATTATATCCAAGTCAATCGTATGCTAAGACTGTTGGACCCCATTTACCCGATCAGAGAATCAGACTAACATCCTGGCCTGGTTTTAACAACTATGTTTTCAATAAATAAATTAAATAGCTCCTCATGAACCCTAATTTCATTCCTCAAAACACTCTCATACTAACTCCCTAGCACTGCAAAACCAACTCTGGTTCTTTGACAGAGTGACAGATTTGAAGAATAAAGATCCTGTTTTTTTCTTTTTCTTTTTATAAGCGAATGAAGATCATGCATCATGAACACGAAGAGAAGAAGAAGAAGAAGAAGAAGAAGAAGAAAAGTTCATTAAAAAGGAAATAGGGATCAGACTCACAATTTTGTTGAACTTCTCAATTGCAGCTAGCGGAATAGTGCCAACAGCAATAATATTTCTGGATCCCTCACTCTTGAAAAGTAAGGAAAAATGTTATTCAACTACTGGAGTTAAACAACTGCTTATAACAAATTAAAAAGAAAAAGAAGACAATAATTTGTAATAGAAAATATAATGCGCATCACTTACCAGAAAAAGAAGACGATAATTTGTCACAAACAAGGTACCTGCTTCATCAATATTAACAAGAACAACACCATATCCCTGGAACCAAACTTCATAAACTCACTAAGCCTTATCCATATGGTAACATAGCCAATAGCCAATAGCCAATAGCCAATAGCCAAATAAAGTGATAGAAAGAAAAAAAAAAGTAGTCAAAATGTTGTTTTAATCTAGTTCATTGTGCAAGTGTTGTCAAAATTGTATGATTTGTTCATAAATTCATATTGCATCGTATGGAAAAAGATACACATAGCATACTCCTATTGTTTGGTAACTTGAATCATGAGATAAATTTTTGTTTCGTTTCTTCACTTTTGGTCCTGTTAACATCTCTCTCTACTGTCAGCTGCTATGGTTGACACTCTTCAAAGAATCACGAACTATGTTCTCAAAAAGCCCCACTCAAGGAGACCTAAATTTAGATAAATCCGCAAGCAAAAATGACTACCGTAGTGCTACAAGAATTAATTGAACTACTCTCATAAATCTAATTCAAGCGAAACAAACAGAGTTTACCCACACACATAGAGCTGTATTAGTCGTTCACATCTGTGGGTTTTGCTTTTTCTTCTTCTCTTTTTCTTTCTTTGTATGAGGAATTCTTGTCCCCTTTCTCTTTCCCGTTTTAATAAAATTTTGTTGTTACTCAAAAAAAAAAAAAAAAGAAAAGTTATTGTGTGCCTTTCTTGCGTATGGGAACAATGTACTATACAGATCGTTAGGTTTGGGTTAGACATGAGTGAGATGACATATTTGGACTATGACCATAAACCGTATGACAAGTTTGTTTGGGACTACTTATATCCAAATAAATCTCAAAGATTGTCTGTAGTTGCAAAGTAACAACCAGATGGGCTCAAAAACAAGGCAGTCTGGCCTGGCTTAAAAACGAAGTTGTCCTCCAAAAACCATAGTAAGTCTTATCATAACTCAATCGAGTTATGAGTCACCTTGCTGAGTCTACTACAAAATTGACAAAGTTAACATGACTCAATCAAGTTTCAGAGCACTTCCAAAATTTATATTGATCTAAAACCCTGACAAGGCCATGATTAGCAAAGGAATATCGGCTCCCAAAGTGATAGTGCCACTCAAAGAAAGAGTTTTACACTAAGCAATAGCAATTATGATTTTTTATTTTGCATACAGAAAGCATTCAGCCAGTAATATCACGAGGGATATTGAAAGCACTGCATTAGACAATAATCTGCAAATTTTCCTCAATATGTAAATCATAATTTTATCAGATCTGTGAGACGTGGTAATCCATATCTGACCAGGACCAATTACTCTATTAGCAAATCTAATTATGCCTAAAGAGCTAGGAAATCTTAAAATACTGCTATATATAGTAAAATATTTTTTAAATGTTTAGTAAGAAATGTTTGGAAATCATCCAAACGTTGTAGTCAACGGGAATGGCAATAACTACATATTTTGTAGGTCAACTAAGAACAAGGAAGCTCAGGGTTTTACCTCTAATCATAATACATATATAATATATATCACATGTACACGTACAAACAAGTATGTACATGCATGCATTAATTTACTGACACGTGCCTTTGAAGGAGAGTTAACAGCCTACCCTAAATTGTTGATTTATCCAGTAGTTTAGCTCACGCTATGCCAAAATGATATCCCAACTTATCATCGAGCCACCTTGCCCCTTTTTACCATACTTTGACATTCTAACTCTATTGTGATAAGCAAAATTTATACAAAGAAATATTTAAGAACCCGCCAATACATCAATTAACAAAGTATGTATAAAATTTCCAGGTTCAACAGATATTGATAACCAAGTTAAATTTAAACAGGAATTTATTCATATTATTCAGAATATCAGTCCAAAAAAAATTCAGAAAATTCGACAACTTTTTAACTTCGTCTAATAAATCTAATTAAAATCAGAAAAAAAAAATGTGATAGTCATGGTATTCATGTATCTTTCTTAGAATTTCTATTTCAAAATAAATAAATAAATATATTGTGGCACATTCACAATTCATTTCCATATCACAGGAATTAGTTGGAACTACCAAGATTTATTAACAACTGTTCTGAAACTTCATTGTACATCCATATATGTAATGCAATCTTGAAAGGCAAATGCTAACAAGCATGAAATGATTAAAATTATATCTATCTATCTTCTATCTCCAACCTTCTATTTCCCATTTTCCATCTTTCTATCTTTCTATCTATCTATCTATCTACTATTATCTATCTATCTACTATTATAAAGAGAAGCCTTTTGTTGTGTCTCATTTTTTGGGTTTGTTGGTGCTTATGTCTCATTTTTTGGGTCTTTTGGTGTCTATGTCTCATTTTTGGGTTTTCCCAAGATACCCAATATCAATAGCTACACCCAGTTTTTTGTTTTTTCACCACTTACATGGGTAGTTATGAATTCAAAAAAATAAATAAATAAATAAAATCAAATGACTCAATTGTTGGTGTTTTTAGATTTATAAAATGTTTCAATTTGCAAATTTGAATTCAATCATTCACTTCACAATCTTATTTCTCTAATCATATGCACACACATGGCGTGTGTGCCAACCACTTCTAGTATATATATAAAGTTCAAAATTCAATGAAAAAAATTTCAAATTAGTTTTTTTTTTAATTATTTTAAATATGCGTTCTTCATTTTCATTTGTCCATTTCTTGTGCCCCGGGGCACTTGTTAGCAACACCCATCTTGAAATGGAGCAGAATTGTTATCAAATTCGAACAAAAATCGAATAGCATTCTTAAATGTGATATATATATATACACATACACACACGTACCTCTACAACGACCTGTTCGGCATCAATCAAAAACTGCAACACCGCTTCAGGAACAGACCTCGAAATGGGCTAAGAATCGCATAAAAAAAAATAATTTAAAATTAAACGAATTCAGATACGAGCATTGATTGAGAGACGTGTGCTTGTGAATATACAAAGATATATGATATGTGAGAAGAATTGGAAAACAGAAACCCTAGAAGAGAAATTGAAAACCTCGATCTTGGTCCATTCGATGGCGTCCCAACTACCAGCGCCCTCGATTTTTTCGGACTCGGTGAGTCGATTGTCGTCGGCCTCTCGGAGAGAGGTGGATCTCCCTGACCGTGGCTTTGAGGCGGACATGCGGCGAGTCGAGCTCGTACCGAGAGAGAAGGTTTGGTTTGGACAGAGAAAGTGAACTGTAGAGAGAGAAAGAAAACGCTTTGTGCCACGTTTCACCTGACATTCAGAGAGAGAGAGAGAGAGAGATTTTGGTAATTTACATGCGAAATCTAGAGTTTTTTTTAAAAAAAATATTCTTTAAAAAAAACAATTTAAAGAATTGTACCACTTTTTAAATTATTTAGGAAATTAATTTACTTTTGAAATTATATTTTAAAAATATAATTTTAAATTAAAATTACATTTTCAACATGTAATTTTAATTTGAAATCTCATATTGGAAATATAATTTTATGATGATATGAAATTTACTAAGATATATTCCATTTTTAACATACGATTTTTACTTGAAATTACATAAAAATGTGATTTTAATTTAAAATTATATTTTTAAAATACAATTTCAAAAAACAAGTTAATTTCTTAAATAATTTGAAAAGTGGATCAATTCTCTAAATTATTTTTTTTAACATTAAAAAAAAAAGTCCAAAATCTTGGCTGTAGGGAGGCACGCCAAAATCTTGGGTTTGGATTTAGGGAAAAAAATATTCAGTGTATGTAATGGTATTAAAAAATAATAATAATAATTTTTTTGGCTCATTATTTATTTTTTTGATAAATATGAGAGAGGAAAAAATCTTCTTTTGTATTTGATCCAAAATGTTAAATATTTAACGTTATCAAACTCCAAGAATATATATCATAGAAAATGTTTTTTTATATGTAGATATAATTAATCTTATTTTATCAATGTAAAAGTTATTAATTATTAATTATATTTTATTAATGTGATTAATTTATTTATAAATTATTTTATCATTGATTAATGATACTACATGTCAATCATAATGTATTAAATATTTACACGATTTTTTCGGGACTTTGGTTTGGCACAACATGTTTCAATTACATTAGCATATATACTAGGTGGATAATTATTTGATGAACTTGAAAAATTATTTTAAAATTTATAATATAGCATTGATATTTTAGGTAAATGAAAAAATTATTTAGAACACCCTAAACAATCCGTATAACATTCTTTTTAATCCAACATGTTTCGATTACATTAGCATATATGCTTGGCACAACATGTTTCGATCACATTCATATTTTTTTCCTCAATTTTTAGTATAAAAAGACAAAAAGTATACTTAGGAGTCGTTTGATTTTGGCTTTTTTAGTTGACTTTTTGATTTTTTTGACTTTTTTAACCTAGGACTTTTTTAGTCGTTTGGTATTCTTGTTTGACTTTTTGCTTTGGAATGACAAAATTGCCCTCCACTTAGAAATGATATTTTTTTTACTTTTTGTTTGTATATGAGTCAATTTAGTAATTTTATAACTTTTTTGTCTTTTTGTGATTTTATAGCTCTTTTTTTTGTCTTTTGTGATTATATAGCCAAAATAATTTGTCAAACCAAGACTATTTAGGACACCCAGTTCTTTATTTTTAAACTAATTAACAAAAAAATGAGTCAATACATCTTACTTCCCACTACATTTGAAACATCACATAAGAAATGTCACACATGCACTAGATGAACTCATGACCATTAGGGGGGATGATATACTGACTAATTTTTTTTTATAAATTTTCTTTACTTAATATGTTATATAAAAAGACATATTATGCAAATAATTTTTTTGTTATGAATTGATATGTCAAGTAATAATGAAAATTTGAAACTTGAAATGAGATCTACTGAATTTAAATGATACACATAAGTTTGTAAAATAAATTCATAAGAAAATATAAATTACTAGTTAAATTACAATGTGATAGAACATGGCTCATTTCAATAATAAGGTAAAAAAAAATTTATAAGAATTATTATAATATTATTATTAAAATAAATTTAATTCACATAATTTTTATTTTATGTAGTTTTTAAAATATTTTTTAAGAGATATGACTTACACACGAGACAATGTTCAAATATTTATTCGAAATCACACACTTACGTAGGGGTGTGCATAATACCGCCGAAACCGCCAAAACCGCACCGAACCGCACCGCCAAGGCAAATTCGTTATTATTTGCTAATCGAACCGCCGATTTTTGATAAGAAAAATGGCAAATTCTAGTTACACTTTTATCAATCCGCCGGTTTCTATTTTTCTTCCAAACCGCACCGACCCGCACCGCTATTAAATGATGTTTTATAAGATTCTAAAAATTCTTCTTTTTACTTAAGTTTGCTTGTTGTTCTATACCTTAGAATATAGTATTACATTACTGCTCGAGGGGAATTCAAGATGTCAGTAATCCAAAATAAAGTTGGATTCTAATTCACTTTTCAAAATGCAAACACACATAATTTTTCACATGATCCAACTGAGACTACAACTCAGTGGTTCCCTATCCACATAACTATTATACAAACACTTCAACCTTGCCATTTTACGGAAATTTTGTCTGCAGGATCGGCACCCATGTATTCACAAGATTTCGGGACTTCCACCATGGATACTCTGACCAACGTAATTCTCAATAGAGTCCATCCCCTATCTCCTCCCAAATAATGGAGTACATCCCCTTTTTTCTCCCAAAACAATACATATACAATGTATTTAAATTCATCGTCATATACAATGACTATTCATAAACACATATTCTATGTCTTAATCGGTATCTCTCGTCTTTTTTTTACTCTTTGATTTAAGTTTTGTAATTTGAATTATATTTTTTATAAACCGCCAATCCGCCCGAACCGCCAAGGCAAATCTGCCATTATTTGCCAACCGAACCGCTGGTTTTTGATAAGGAAAATGACAAATTCTAGTGACACTTTTATCAATCCGCCACCCGCCATACGATTTCTATTTTTCTCTCAAACCGCACCGACCCGCACCGCTCACTCCCCTACACTTACGTGAGCGCGACTCTCACCTAAAATGGCTCATACGAGATTTCTTGCTCTTTTGGTCAATATTTTAAGATAAAACAACAAATTTTCTAGCTATCACATACGATACGAAATTGTACAATAATTAAGCGATATATTAATATAATGCTCATGAATGATATAAATATTTTATTTATACTATTTTAAATATTTTATTTTGAAAACGATGTAAATGTTGTAAAATTACTGTTTAATTCTCTTAACCAATCTCTTGCTGCGCATTTGTATAAAAAAAATTAGCTAAATGGGAATACATCTTTTTTTTTAGATTCATTTTTGCATTCCAGTCACCTGTTTGGTTTGTTTGTTTTTTCTTTTTCTTTTTTTCTTCTTTTTTTTTTGAAAAATAAAAATTAATTTAACCGAAACAAATACCAGAATAATATTTTCAAAAATTATTTTTGCCCAAAAATGAGAAAACCGTATGAAAATGTTTTTTTGGGCCAAAATGGGTGGTTTGGGATGCCCTAAATAAGTGTACTTTTTAACTTTTTATAAAAAGATGTGTACAAAAATAGAGATGAAATGTTGATTGATGTGACCCAAAAAAATAAAAAGATGGAGTTTTTTCTTTTTCTTTTTTTCTTCTTTTTTTTTTGAAAAATAAAAATTAATTTAACCGAAACAAATACCAGAATAATATTTTCAAAAATTATTTTTGCCCAAAAATGAGAAAACCGTATGAAAATGTTTTTTTGGGCCAAAATGGGTGGTTTGGGATGCTCTAAATAAGTGTACTTTTTGACTTTTTATAAAAAGATGTGTACAAAAGTAGAGATAAAATATTGATTGATGTGACCCAAAAAAAATAAAAAGATGGACTAAAATATGTTATGCCAAACAAGGCTTTGTGAAAGAATGCCTTTTTATTTTTAAAAACCAACCTAGTTTTTAGTTTTTTTTTTTTTTTTTTTAGAGAGAAGAAAAAAGATTTTGAAAATGAAACAAAACAAGATGAGTAACTCTAATTTCTTGGCATAAAAAAGAAAGTATCATTCAACAATTTCTTGTGAAAATATAAGAATAACCTACAAGTTGATGCTTCATCGAGAAAATAGAAAAAAAATTAAAATAAAAAACCAAAAAAACTTTCAACCAATTTAGAACTTTGCCACCCGTCCCTTTTTTTTTTTTTTAAAGCTAAACTCTCTCTTAACCTAATAACAAACAAAGAACCTTACTCTTGCACCACAAAATATAGTTCAATGAGGTAAATTAGAATTCAATGAACCATAAAAACCGACCTTAAAAACAACAAATCAATGAAGAAATTGAAATCATGAAGAAAAAAAAAATACAAAGAAAATTTCCCCAGAAAATGGTTTGATAAAAAATAAAAAAATAAATAAAAAAAGGTAATAAGCAATTGAAAAAGTACCACAAAACACCAAATGCCCTAAATACCTTATTGTCCCTTCACCCCAAAAGCTTGCCTACTTAGTCGTGCCCCGCTCTATTCTCTCCCTCGTTAGAGAACTATTCAGTTGGCGCACTTCTGTATAGACCAATTAGTATTGATTCATGCAAAGATACTCATTTATTTCCTTAAACCACAAGATTTTGGGATCGACATGCCCTAGGTTTGAAGAATTCGATGACGCCTTTGCTGAAGTATGAATAAGAAAACAATCACAATCGATTTACAAAGTTCCATTTGTTGAAGCTTTTGGAATAATGGCACTCATTTCTATATATATATATATATAAAAAAAAAGAAGAAGAGAAGAAAAATGAACATATATAAAGAAAATGAAGTTGATCATGAAATTTTTTTTGAAAACACAGAAAGTTTGAGAGTTCTATTAGTCAAACAGATATGGATTAGAATATACATAGATGAGTTGGAAGGATAAACTCAAAAAGATATCAAACAGAAAAAGGTTACAATAACTAAAATATGGAACTATTCAATGTCTTCCCCCTTTTGTTGGACAAAATTATTTCCCCTTCCAACATCAGAAGTTGTTTCAAAAGTTCCTCAGTTAACAAACCGATCAAAATGGCAAGTGTTCGACATAATCAATAAATGATCTTATGCTACAAAAGACATAACGTAACAAAAACTAGTCATTTATGGTTGATCAATACCGGTATCCTAAGAAACACTGACACAACACTCTAATTATCGGATGCTTCTCAAGATTTGTCGGACAAACATACAATCTGTCCTACAATTTTTTGAAAAAAATTCCAGACCCTGTTTCAAGCACTTGAAAACACATCTATCTTTCACAAACATTACACACATTAACAATTTTAAAAAAAATAACTTGAAATCCAATTGTAAAAGAAAATAACGTAAATTCATACACATTCCCTTTCTGTAGAGTTTAAAATTATCATTTTTTACTTAAATATTCATATATATGACATATAATAATTATTTATCTTTTTATGGGGGTGTTTGGGAAGGAAATTTTTTGATTTTTTTTCACTAAAAGACAAATTAGTTACAAAACCAAAAAAAAACAAATCCAAACAAAATATCACATCAAATCCCATAATCATTTCATTTTTTCTCTCACAAACATCACATCCAACCACAAAAATACCTAACTATCTTCCCCAACACAAAAAAAATTCTCCAATAATACCCTACAACTAAAAAAACCCACTTCCCATATATTTTGTGTGCTCCCCTTGTGCTGTGTGCAACATTTTTTTGAAAATTTATGAGTCGACATGTCTATGTCATCTCCATGCTCCTAAGTAGATATCAGCTCAATACACTTCAATATGTCAAGAAATCTCATGATAACAGAACTCCAAAATCAAGCCATGTTAATGTGATCATGTAAATGCCATGTATGAGACATCACATACATTTTGACAAAAGGCAAGTGAACCATGCAGAATGAATAGAAATGACCAGAAAACCAAAAAAAAAAAAAAAAAAAACTGTTTCCAAAAACGAAAGGCTAACCAAATCAATTCAAACATTGATTAAATAATGTCACCACGGTTGTGAAAAGCTTCACATTCATACAAACCACATTCAATGAAGCATGCCAAACTTCAGCATACCAAACCTCAAATTATCTTCTATATATATATATATGAAGAAAACCCCTTTGCAAGTAAATTTTTACAATAGCAGAAAAATGAGTCTTGAAACTACCGATCAATACCGGCCTAATTATAGGACATGGATTCTACCTTGAAGAGTAAACATCACAGCCAAATTTAAGTGGCTAAAGAAAAAAGATCATCAATACTCACCCAAGAAAAGAGAGTGTTTGGATGCACTTACCATACCTCAAGGTCCTCAACTGCACGAAGAATGCCTTGATCGTATTAAAGAATCCAATTTTAAGATCCTTGACCTTCAACACTGAGCAATTGCCAAAACATTTGCCAAAGTTGCTGAAAAGCATCGCAGAGAGGCCCAATCGTTGGAACCTTTGTCCAATACAACTCCTGAACCGGTCCACTGTTATCTTAATTAGGATCCTTGCGTGATTGCCACGACCTGAAAGTATTAATACCCATCCAAGTCCAAAGAATTATCGAATGTTCTACCACTGGCACACTCCAATAAAGCTTTGGCATTGACTTCTCTGCCGAATCTCCACACATAGTTTAGACCAACAAGAAGTTCGGTAATCAAAGCTTCTGCTTTTTCTTGATTTGCAAAGTAAAGCGTTTGTACTAGAAGCACGTTTGTCCTGGAAACTAGGTTCTGGTGTTCAAAACTCCTCTCGGACTGCCATCTTATCATGTTATGGGCAAGCGGAGCTAACCATTCTAATATTCCCGACATTGCCTCACTCCACTCTCTCGCAAGAACTGTATCGCAAACCGATGAAGTCAGGCTCTTGGTGTATGGCTGTAGCCTTTCCCTGAGGGCCATTCTTACATTTGCCGGCAACATATTGTACAAATCATCTCTTGCGTCGTGACCAATCAAGTGTGGAGACGCCACTAACTTCTCAATTACAATAATGACATTTGCATAGTGCAGTGCTAAAGCAGCAGCGCCAAGTGTTTCAGGAGGTGCATTCAACAACCTGGGCTTCGAATCGATGACTGATGGATTATCGTGAACACCACTTGCGACTAAATTGCTATTTTGAACAGGAGAACTGTTTCTGCCCATCATGCATCCTTTAAAAGGTCCTGATGGAGTCAACCGATTCACTTTTGGATGTTGGTTTTTTCCTTGAAGGGTAGATGAGAAATCACGAATTTGCCACAACCTGAGAGCAGTTTTCTTTGTTCTAGCTAATGGGCCGGATTTTGTCGTTGACATTCCAAGAGGACCTGAATAGAAGTTCGTAGCCTTATTATTTCTAGAATTTGAGCTCACTGTGGTAGTTGAGTTCCCAAGAGGGCCAGAATAGAAATTATTAGTTCTATTTGTTATTGTAATTGGGCCAGATTTAGTAGTCAGATCCCCCAAGGGACCTGAAGAAAACCTAAGAATACTATTCTCAGATGGGTGAACTGAAGATTGTATCAATGCGGAAACCGAGTGACTGCGATGAATAAAGTCGGAATCCAAAACCCTTGAGTCTTTGATTTCCACATCTACCATGTGACTAATTCCAAACACATGTCCAATCCTGCTATATATTGTGAACAAAGATTTTGCCAAAAGGCGAACAATGTAATCATAGGTTCGGTTCCAGAGAGACATATCCTTCAGATGCTTCACCTCTTGCTGCTTCCATGCAACCTTCTTCGCATATTCAGCCAAAGTTATGCTATCCGAGTCATCATTATTCTTCATTCTCCTCAGAGTATGTTGAAGATCTGAAAGAGATTCCATGTCCTGATACAAATTTGCATTCATCGAAATGAACCGTTCCATCTTCTTAGCTTTCCTATCCATCTTCCTCCATGTAAAATGCCATCCATACGGGTCAGCACCAATCTTGATCAGATCATTAAAGACGTGTTGAAAGTTCTTCAAACATGGATCATTACACTTCTTTGCAAGCCTGGCCACTGCTCTTGCCACGTGTCCTAAGTTCTCTAACATCTCCGCGCATATCAAATTAACAACATAGTCATCGTCATCTGAAACAAGCTTCTTAATACCCACTGAATTCGCGATCTCCTCCCTCAACTTAACAACCTGCTTATCACTCAAAGATTTCCATAGATGAACCAGCTTCGCCATCAAGCTTGCAACTTCGAAGGCCAGTACTCCAACCAATAAATCATGACCACCCTCATGCTTCCGTGGAGTTTTCCAAAGACTGCGAAACCACGATTCTGCTACCATCTCTAATCCCAAAGAATATAATATTTTAAGGAAATGATCTCTAAGCAAAGTCTACTCAGTAGTTCTTCAAGTCTGCATAAAAAGCAAAAATAACAGCTATCAGAGTGTTATTTTAATAAATGATTCATGAATGATAGCACCAGACTTATTTGAAGTAGAAAAACTGCAAAAAAAAAATTCTCCATTCGGTTAGTGAGAAACTGTAAGGAAAGTAAAATTCATGCAGTCAATTTTTTATTATCTAATCCACTGAGAGAGAGAGAGAGAGAGAGAGAGAGAGAGAGAGAGAGAGAGAGAGAGAGAGAGAGGACTACTGACTAAGCTTTAATGCAACTATTTAGCTTAAACGGTTTCATTAAGTCATTCTTAAAAATTCAAGATTCACACTTTTATTTTCCTTTACTGTGTAATTCCCAAGTTCTTCATGTAAATAAACAACCAGAAAACTCAATTTCACTGTATGATAAACTGAAGGAAAACAAAAGATTTAAGCTCTGTATGCGCAGAGATTCCACACAACTGAGCCTAGCACAAACTTATCGCTTGTATATTCCATGATTTTATTACCAATTCATTAAATATCTTCCTCCATTCAAGATTATACTTTTTTTCCTCCCTGTTATATTCATCCAATCCGCCAATAAATAAATAAAATTCACACTCACAGATATGTTTTCTGCAGCAATTTTTTACTTTTAACTTAAAGCATAGAACATGTTGTGACAAACACATCCAAACAACAGCTCAGTTGAATTTCCGGTTTTCCCCTTTCTACTGACAAAGGGAGACACAGATAACATATATCAAAATTTACAATTTCCTTTAAATTTCATATTTTCTGACTAACCAACCAGAGATGGCTAATACCAAACTTTTAAAGGAAAAAGGAAATTATAATTTTACAATAATATATTGCAGATTAAGCCAAAAATATTAACCACCAAATAGACAAAACCCTATGTCCTAATTGCATACCCATCTCCCATGATCTGAGAAAGAAAAAAGAAACCCAAGTTTTCAGAACCCTCAAAATGATTGTCTTTGCTTGAACAGAAAAAATATATAAAAACAAAATACAAATGGATTCAATAAAACATATATATATATATATATAGAATACATGAACCAGTTATAAAAAAAAGAAAAGAAACCCACGAAAATAGAACCTAACCCAGAAAAGGATGAAGTCCATTACAGAAAGAAAGATAGAATGCCAGAGAAGTTGAGTTGAAAAGGAACCCCCCCAAAAAAAAACTCACCCAAAATCTGAAGAAGAATTGGGCCATGAATCTTGTTGGAATCAGCACGAATCCCGAGGTTCTTGATTGCAAAGGAAGAATGGAGAGAGAGAGAGAGCCGAGTGACTGCGATAGGGGGGGGGGGTTGGGAGTTGGGAAGGAAGGAGCTGGGAAAGTGCAGTGAAGAATGAACCACATGGAATGGAGCCCCAGAGATGGTTATAGATAGCGAAACCGGGTGGAATTAAAGGGAATTGTTTCACTTAATTGCGTTAGGTACCCTATTTTTCAGTCTAATTTTGCATATATACCTCCGAAAAGTTGAACCCCTTCGGATTGAATGGTTTGGTGATAAAAAAATAAAAAAAATAAAAAAAGAGATATTTGTTAATAAGTCTTATCTCACGAGCAAGTATTTTAATTAGTTTTAAATTTCTTTTAGCGATGTGTTAAGTTTTAATAATGGCGAGTTTCATTTCATGTGATCCTATTTTTTATTTTAGTAATATTTTTGTGGATTTTTATATCATTTTATTAATATAACAGGTATGATGTGACATTTTAATGTGACAGATATTATTGTGACACTCTAATGTAACGGATATGAAGTAACACTCTAAAAAAACTATAAATTCCTTAATATACTTTTCTCAAATGTGACAACGTGGCAGGTATGATTTGACATTCTAAATCTTTTACTTGAAAAAAACTAAAACTCCTTGTGTATTTTTTATTCCAAATATAACAACGTAACGGGTATAATGTGACACTCCAAAAACTTAAAAATTTCTTAGTGTATTTTTTTTCAAATGTGACAATGTGACGGGTTTGATGTGACATTAAAAAAAACTATAAACTTATTAGTGTACTTTTCTAAATGTAGCAACGTGACAGATGTGATGTGACGCTCCAAAAAAGCTAATAACTCATTAGTATACTTTTTTTAAATAACAAATGTGACGGGTATGATGTGCCACTCCAAAAAAATTAAAAACTTATTAATGTATTTTTTTCTAAATGTGACAACGTGACAAATATAATGTGACACTCTAAAAAAACTAAAAATTCATTAGTGTGTTTTTTTAATGTGACATGTGACACTCTAATATAACGGGTATGATATAACAATGTAAAAAATTAAAAGCTCTTTAATGTACTTTTTCTAAATGTAACACTCAAACGTAAAGGGTATGATGTGACACTAAAAAACTCATTTGTATACTTTTTTCAAATGTGACATTCTAATTTGGTGGGTAAATTAGTTATTACATATAAAAAATGACTAAATAGATCACAAGAAAAAATACAAAGCTATATGGATTACAAGTCTAAAATATGGGATTTATTCGTCAATCTCCCTAAAAAAAATAAGAGGAAATTATACGGTTACACTCCACTCCAGCCGTGTTTTAAAAATAAATTTTAAATTAGTTATAAAATTTATCGATTTTAATAATTAAAATTTTGTAATTTTTTTTTAGTATTATGACTCACAATTTTTTCTATAAATAAATAAATAAAAGAAGAGAAACGTATCTCTCATCACTTATTTGAATGATTAAAAAAATAAAAAAATAAAAAATAGTAAGAAAAGCCGAAAGACAAATATTTTAGAAAAATGTTTGGGATCTCTAAATTGGGAGCACTAAAAGAGTTTTAGAGAGTGGGTTCCACTGACTGATGTGATGTTTTGGCCTTAAGTTTTTTTTTTTTTTTTTTTTTGAATTTCCACCTCATTAGTGGTCCATTAGTGCTCCCAAATTAGTGAGATATATCATTGTTGAATGTTTTATATCACTGTTTTGTATTACAGTCTCCATGAACTCTGGTTATTAATTTGAATAATTTTTTTATTTGAAGATAATTTGGTAGCAAATGAAAATTAGTATTTATAAAAATTTGGATTAATTATACCAAGTGCCTTCAACTATTAGCGAATAACAAGTTATCCCCTCATATATATTAATTTCTCAATACATGCAAGTTCATATTAATATTTAAAGGGTCTTGATGTATTTAACCTTAAAATTTTTTGCAGCACTAATGAGAAATAATTTTATAATTTCTATTCTCTAACTGCCATACCAAATGAAACATTAGTCTCTTCACTATCATTTTTTTACTTTGAAAAATGATATACAAAAAATATATATATAAATAAATTATATAAATTTACCACATCAATCTGTATAGCATTATAGCATTATCAAGAGATTATAAATCAACAAAAAAAAAAAAAAAATCATTTATCTAAAGCTTATGAGTAGTTAATTTCAAAGTAAGATGATTACATTACTATAGGTCAACTTACTTTAAGAAATCATGAATATGGTACAAATGATTGTAGATTAAACCCATCATACATCTTCATTGGATAAATGTAAAATAAAAAATTTGCAAAAGAGAAATATGTGACAAGATTTTATGAAATAATCAAACGGGTAAATTACTAGTAGGTCTTAGTAAATCGTTATTAAAAATAATTTTTTGTGATGATTTTTTTGCATATGTTTTTAAAAATTAATTTTTTTTGTCACGATTTTTATGAATTGCCGCTAAAACTTACAACTAAGTAACTTTTTTTATGAAATTTTTTTAAATTATCGCTGGAAGTTAAAAATTAGTGATTTTTTTGTGATGATTTTTTTAAACTGTTACTAAAACTTAAAATTAATGATATTTTTTGTGACAAAATTTTCAAACTGTCGTTGAATTTAACAATTAATTACTTTTTTTTAATAATGTTTAATGAAAAATATCATTAATAATCATAGGAATTATTGAATAATAAATCCGCCTATTGTAACCTATACATAAGCCCTCTAATCAAGTTACATAAGATTTCATTATGTAAACCATGTTTGGTAACACTTTGATGTGTTCAAATAGGAAAGCTTTTGCAACCCTTGAAGTGCATTAGTGTGTGTTCAACTCCATCATTTTTTTTTTTTTTTTGAGGGGTATGTTTAACTACATCATTAATAAATCATTTTAATGTTTAGAGGTAAAAAACACTTTTTCAGTAAAGTAGTAAACTAAGAGATGTTTTGACATAAAAGTACAAAATCTCTTTTACAACTACCACTTTCTAGGCGTGCAAAGACAAATAGATAAGATAGATTAGTAAAACATCTAGCTTGGCTGCATAAGATAGAAAAAAAAAATATACTTTCCCCAATTTAAGGTAGACCTTATTGTTATTTCAATGTGTTTAAATTAAAAACGTTTTTGCAATATTTGAAGTGCTTTAGTTTAACAACAATGCTAGGTAACTCAAAATTTTATGGCTCAAATGGTTCAAATCACTCAAAACGACGTCGTTTTGACAGATTTTGAGTGTAAAACGACGTCGTTTTGACAGATTTGAGCCATTTGAGCCACAAAATTTTGGGTTACCAAACATTTTCCTTAGTCTAAATCAATTGGATTAGGTTAGTTGGCGCAATAATGTTATATACCAACAAAAATAATCAAAAAAACTACGTCAATGGACACGTGTGTGTATTTTTCTAGTTGTTACGCTCTAAATTGAAGTAATAAATCATTGGCATAACTAGAAATTGATTATTCATTCAATTTGATGTAATTATTACATGATATTTATAAATAATTTCCTATTTACAATTTTTTTTTTTTTACGTGACTTAGTTTGTGCTTGACTACATTATTAAAGCATATGAACTCAAATTAAGAGGTGAAAAATAAAGATATCAATTATATAATTAATCGTAGTAAATGAATTACCTCAATAAAGCAATATCTTAAATTTTAAAACAGCTAATATAGTTGTTAAAACTCATACTAAATTGCAATTTTTAATTAAAAATCTCTTCGCGACAACCTTTTTCTATAATAATGCATTTAAAATAATAGGGGTGTAGATGAAAAAAATTAAAGCAAAGAAAGAAAATAAAAAGAAGGGCAGGGGTAAAAATCAAACTTAAGTATAGGGAGGGACTGAAGTGCAAAAAAGCGACCATATGGAAAGAGATCTGTCACAATCCTTAAGACCAACACGCTGAGACTGTCTTTTACGTTTTGAACCCCGGTGGCGCGACCCAGACCGAACCCGCACAAATCGGGTATTACCCAATGAAGGATCCGGTCATTCTTATTGCAAACAATTATTATTATTATTATTATTATTATTATTATTGTTATTATATTTGTTTATTTATTTTTGTGTGATTCAATTTACACAATAAAAACTATCTCCTCACATATCTACTTCTTTTTGACAAAAATTATTTCAATTTTATCCCAACTTAAAGTTACCAAAAAGTACTCAAATTAAAAAAATAATAATAATCAAAATCCTCACTATACTTGCCACTTTTACATTATCTCCATTAGTTCATTACCACTATCTCTTTTTTTTTCTTCTTTCTATAAACTCTAAATCTAAAAACCTTCTATTTTCATGGTAATGAGATTGGGAAGAAAGGTTGTAATGGGAAATGGAGACGAAGATGCAGTGGAGGAGGTTAGAAAAAGGTCGTGATGGAAAAAGGCTAAGGTCATGTTTGTTTGGAAGATTAGGGATGAGATTGGAGTAGTAAGGAGGTGGGTCCCACTAACCCTTGTTTGGTGGCTTCCTTGTGGAGGGGGATTGCTACTCCAAACACCAAGTGTGTCTGTTTGTTTTAATATTTGTTTTAATTTTTTTTAATATAGAAATAATTTATTTATTTATTTTATATAAAAATAATTTAACAATCTTATCACTAACCATCTTCCACTCTATCATCAAAATAAACACAGCTTTACTTAATCCCTTCATTAACAATCTCTACATTAACAATCTCTTCACTAACAATCCTCTCACTAACAATCCCATCTAACCTAATCCGCCAAACAAACGTGACCTAAGAGTTAATGATTGAGTTTGAAGAGATAGCGGTGAGAGTAGGGTACAGTTATAGTTTGAAAGGTTAAGTATGTAAAGAGGAGGGTATGTTTGATATTATGATAAGCATAAAAAAGTAAAATTAAAATTTTAAATTTTAGATGGGATGTAATTGGAAAAGGATGTAAGGGGATGTTTTTGTGGTATAAATAAAATCACTTTTTTTTTGTTTTTTTCATATTACAATGAAAAAAAACTACAGCATAAATTATACTTGGATA